CAAAAAGAAAAATAAAAAATTGAAATTTTTTAAGTATTTTTAATAATTTTTAACCCTTTCTTTACATTTTATATGAGTAAAATTTTATTAAATTATTAAAGAAAAGCGTACAAAGAAAATTTAAAATTTGGGAATACAATAACCTCGACCAAAATAAATAATGTAAAGTTAATTGACATGCGCTTTTAATTCATAAGTCGCTTCCGTGCAATGTACACGGAATTAAACAATAACTTTTTAAAATTGTGTAAATTATTTATGAAAATAACGCAAAACCAGTGTATAACACAAATAATCGTAAATTTCTTTTCAAAAAAAATTTTCATTTGAATGTCAAACTTGTGTCAAAATTTTAAAGACCAAATATTTTTATTTCACTAAAAATTTCAAATTTTATAATTTTGATTCAAAAATTTCTCACATTTTTTTATTTTATTTCGTGCTAGTTTCATTGTGTTATAAAACTTTTAGTCTCATTATAGTATTAATTATTAAGTTAATTAATAAAAATGAAAGCACAATATTAATAATGTGTAACAAATAAATTTCAATCTACAAACACAACAAATTTCTGCAATATGATTACAATTAAGGTATACTTAAGAAAATATTCACCATTTCAAAATATGAGCACAAAATAATTTTAATTCTTTAATCAAAAAACAGCTATGAGTTTACGAATATAAATGAGTAATAATTATTATAAAAGTTTTATGACTATCAATTTAATAGCTCCCTTAAATATGAACTTGATAAATTTTTAATATTTTCTCTACAACTCTACAACTTTTCGAAATAAGTTGTATAACATTTTTTTTTGTTAAATATTTTCTATACTTAAGTTTTAGCAATCATTGTAACGAAAGGGTTAAAAAAATATTCTGTTGAAAAGAAACAGAAACCAAAAATACTTAAAATATTTTTATGACAAGTTAAACAATTTTACAAAAAAAAAATAATTTTTTTATTTATTAAATTTTAAATAATAAATCAAAATTTGTAAAAGAAATTTTAGTATTTTTTTTTGTTTTTATTTAAGGAATATAGAAACAAACAAATAAATTGTAATAAAAAAAAAATACAATGTAATTTGAATTTTAAATTTTTTTAGAATTTAAAAAAATTTTTAATATTTTATTTATTTTTTTATATATTTTTTTTAAATATAAATCATTTGTTTTTTTTAGCAAACACATTCATTTTATATATACGTACATTCAATAAATAAATTCTGCCATTTACGTCATTTAGCATATTATAACACTAACAAAATTAATAATTTAAAATGACTTAAAAATAAATAAATAAATAAATAAATTAATATTAAAATAAATAAGAAAATGAAAACTCAAAATTAAAATTCAATATTAAACTATTAAAATAACAATATTGACTGTTAATAGAACATTTTTATGTATTATATAATTTACGGCAACATTAGACTAAATTGGAACATTATTGTTAGAAAGTTTAATGATAACAAATTTCTCGTACAAATACATAATAATTATTATATATAATTAAAATATATATGTATAGAAAGTGTAGAATCCAACTTACTGCCTTCTTTAATTATTTATTAATTAAATTAATTTATATATTTAATTATAAGAGAACCCATTTCCAAAGAAACTATTTATTAAATTTTAATTAATGTTATATAAAATTTATGAAATTTAATTTTGAATAAAAAATAAAATATTCCGATCTTTTATATAAAACAACATTAATAATTTCCGATATTCTCACACCAAAATTTTCTTTTGTTTTTTGAGAGATTTTTGAATCTAAATTAAAAAAAATTCACTCCGAGAAAACTAATATACATATAAAATTTTCCATTATTATTAAAAATTAAACCGTTATAATTTTTGTTAATCCCATACTTTGTTTAATCTTTATTTTTATATATTTTTTTTTAATTTTTTTTTATGATAATAAATAATATAAAATTTTGAAATAAAATTTTTTTTTAATATAAAATACTATGCGATGCGTAACTCATGTGAAAACTGCCACGAATAAAAACAAACTGGCGGAGATCGGTATGGAAAAAAAAAAAAAGAAATTATGAATTTCCCAAATGGAAAATCATTTTTATTTGCTTTCTTCTTTTCTTTTTTATTTTTATTTTATTCTTTACAATTTTCCTTCTCATTTTTTTTTTATTTTGTTTACTTTTCTTATTATTTTAGTCGTTTACATTTTAACGGTACTTTTTTTCGCTCTATATTACAATATTTTTTTGTATCTATCAAAATATTTATGTATGCAATTTGTAATTTCAACAATATACACAAATTTTTTGTTTACTCTTGAAAAAATGAAGAGAAAAACTACATGAGGGAAAAAGTAAAATATCAATGAGTTGATAATAGTGTGCTTTCCATGATTTTCATTTTTTTTTTGCCATTTCCTTTTCGTTGAAATTCTTTTAAAAAGCACTGTTATAACAACGCCATCTATCCATAATAATATTATTATCATAAAAGTTTATTGACTTTTGTTCTATGTGCATTGTCGCATCGCTTTCTTCACCTTCATAGTATTTTTGTTGTACACTAATTTTTTTTTTTTTGATATAGAAAAATATCTACTCATTTTTTGAATAAGTTACAGTCAAGCATGAATATACAACGAACGAAAATGAAAATCATTGTTGAGAAAAAGATAAGAGGAAAAAGAAAATTGAAATTGTTGAGATAGGACAAAACAAGAGATATAATATTGTAACATTATGATTATGTATGTTTGTGTGCGTGTGTTTTTTTTTTTGGAAATTACAATATCCAGCTACAAGTTTATCAAGTTTATTACAGATTTAGCTTTCAAGTTTTAAGTTTTCATGTAAACACAAAGAGAATAGATAAATATTTGAGCTTTATTATAATTATTAAGAGAGGAAGTTTTTATCTCAGAATTTTAAGGAGAGAATTTTAAAAACAAATTTATTTTTTCATACCAGTGGATTTCAAAGTCTTACATAGAAAATAAAAATTATAAGGAGTAAGAATTATCTCAATTTTTTCCAGGTTATTTGTGAAATTTTCAAAAAATATTGGAATAAATTTAATTATTAATATTTAAATATTATTTAGATGTTGCATTTCATTATTAAAATAGAAAAAAAAAGAATTATATTATTACTTATAACTACACCTTTTATATATCAATATGAAGATTGATAGGTTTGTAGGTTTCAAGCAAACCGAATGATGCAAGAGGATATATCCTCCCGGCAACCGTAGCCATTCGCGACTTGTTTTAGCTTACCCACGCTCCCGCCTATAATATCCCTGTTTGCAGTATAAAACTGGGCAAGGGAATTAAACAGCAGATGCTGAATGTTTAGAAAACCCTGCCTAAGATAATTGCGACTGCCTGGACAAACTAGTTCCAGGCAGTCGTAAAGCACGTGCATGGCGGATTTTTTTGTTAGATCAATATGAAACTTTATAATATGTTGTTGAGCATTGCAGTCTTATTACTATACCCATAATAAGGATCAGTTGTTAAAGAGCCTTAATCCATCCGATAGAAATTTTAACTTATACAAAATTATTCCAATTTGGAGAGGAAATTATTTCACAACAATATCTTGTATATGATAGCATTAACTTATGATTTTAAGGGACTATCTGTAGACTGTTTTCCAAATTTTGATAGACTACTCTCTTTGACAGATGTAAATTTCTAACAGTAGCAAGGTACACCTGCAACAGTACAAGGTACATGATGTGAGAAAGTTAAACAAAAAACTTATTTAATTAAATTCATATTTTTTCTTAGACCCCTAGCAGGTCTTTATGGACCCCTGTATCCATATAGACCACATTGGGAATCATTGGTCAATACAAAAGTATGAGCAATTTTTGCAAAAAGCTACATATATGGAGTAGTTATGTTTCTCAACTCTTAATGAAAAGCTTCGTAGAATTGTTACATAATTTGAAATTGGAATTTAACAAAAAAGTACTTATGTATTACTCTTTATGTTATTTCACTATTTTATGTTAGAGAGAAAGCTTTCAATATAATAAAAGCTCCATTACATAAAAATTTGTAAATTTCCCAAAAGCAATTTTCAAATTTAATTTTTACCCAAACTTATCATATAAAATACAGACACAAAATCATATAAAATTTTAATTTTCTTTGAATTTTTCTCATGCATTATGAACAGGAAATTTTTTATTTATTTTACGTCATTGTTAATTTTATAAATAAAAAAAAAGAAAAAATTTTGATTTTATAAAATTTTTAAAAGATATTTTTTTTTATTTTTTTTATTCTTTGTTTTTGTACCCCAATTGTCTTATACAAGGAAATTAAATTATACACAGAGTGATTTTTTTTTTCTTAAAAGATTTCCTATAAATTTACTTTATACCTAAATTGAACCGTAATAACATAAGAGATAAATTGACAAGTTTATTTAAAAATAATTTTATAAACACTGACGGTAGTTTTAAGTTATTAAAGGATATATTTGAAAGGATATGAGAGTTTTTAGATAAATAAAAATGTACCAATGTGCATGTATGTGTAATCCTAACAAAGCCTTATATATTTGTGTATAAATTGAATATGTAAACATAATTTTTTGTATACACGTATATAGAATAGTAAATAATTTGTCTTCCAAATTCCTTGAACTTTGAAATTTAATAGAAAAGAAATCCTGATGTTTGTATATTATTTTGTGAATTATTCAAAAGTGCCATTTAATCTTAGGTATATTATAATGATGAAGGCGATTCGACGAAGGTATAGTCAATGTTTGTACAGTATTCGAAATTGAATTGTATTTTATAATAATATATAATGTGTACGATACATGTATATATATTGTACACATAAGCCAATTCAATTGAAGAATGAATAAATTTATACGTAAAAAATAAATACCTTATTGTTATTTGAAAATTTGTTCAATAAATATTTTAATATTTACTTATACAGAATTTGTATTTTAGTTTATTTGCAAAAGGATGAGATCTTAACAAATTAGGTATAGTCACTAAAAATAACTAAATTTACTTGGAAATAATATGGTTATATATTCATATTCTAAGCTACTGCGAAAAGTTACACAAAATTTCTTTACACAAATGAAATCGTTTAAAATGTTACGCGCAATAGACGATCTATTCGATGTGCAAATTTTAAGGAACTAATGATCTAAACCCTTTACTGAATTGAGTTCACTGAATGAAGAATATTCTGTGATGAATTCTCAGCAATTTTTTTATAAAATCTATACAACAAATTTTTACTCAAAGTACTTTAAAAAATACAAAATGAAATTAAAAGTCACTTTCAAAATCTATAAGTAGAAATCACATATACAGTTTTTCATTTTTTTTCTAGGAACCCAGAGAAGAGATTTTCGGAAATTAAAAGAGCAATACAATATTGAAAACCTTTTAAGAATGAAACCATTTGGTTTGCGTTAATTTCATCAATATTGAAATTAACGCAAAAGTATATGATTATATCGCGGGTTAAAAGATTTAATTCGAATTTTAATATTTCAAGTTAAGTTAATCGTAATTCAAAGCTTTCAAAGTTATATTCGGTTTACAAAGTTTTACTTTCGGTAGACGTATTGGCCTATTATGAAAAAACAGATTTGAAATTATTATTTAATTTTTCTAAAAATCAATTTCCGGGCCTGTGATCCAGGAGGACCGATCTTAAAAAAAATTCTCGAGTAAATGTTATAGAAATTTCGATGTTAATTTCAACGATACACCGCATGGCCATATTCAGTTAATATTTTTAATCTCTTCTGGGATCCAGTAGGTGAAAATCTTTTTCAGTATCAACCTGTGTTCAATAAAATTATACAATTGTAATTTCAGGCCTTTAGCTCCTTGCGTTCTCAAATGAACGTGAAAAAAATAGAAGGACGGACGTATACTGCTAGATTAACTTAGAATTTGAGTCTGAGCAAGAATAAACTTAAATGCTTTATGCAAATAATACATAAGTCGTAAAAAATTGAATCTACCCCATACAGACGGGTAAAAAAATTCAAAACCCTAGCATTTATTTTATTTAAAAATTTTTAATAAATTACCTGTTCCTATGTTGACCAGTTTATTTGTAAAATTTCACATTTTGTCATTTGTTACTTACCTAAAATGAGAAAAAATAAATTATTAAGAATTTGTTAAAAAAGGTCATAATTCAAAATAATTTTTAATAAAAATATTTTACGTAATTTCAAAAAAATTTTTCTTATGTAAAATGTGGTATTCAAAATTAATTTTCCGAGCCTATATGCGAACATTAAATTTAAAGTTGCATACGACGATCTCAAAATTCTTAATAAATTTCCGTTACAAAAAGAATTTCAATATTACTTATTCTTTATAAAGTCAAAGTATTAAAGTCAAAATGGAATGTATCACGTTACCCTTGCACATATTTTGCCTCTCATTCTGCAAGTAGTTGTAAGGACACTTAGATAAAATGTCTTCTATAACAGTATCTATTTCGGTTAGGATTTCTAATTAACAATTGTTATAATATTGTTTATAATTGCATACATTTAGGAGAATAATTCAACAATTTACGCATAATTAATCTGAAAAGACTTTCAACGTTATGATTCCAATGTTCAACATCCTTGCACATTAACACTTCAAAATATTGTTAACATACACAATGTTTTTCTTTACTTTGTCAAATTCTCGCACTTTAAAATATTATACATAAAATACATAACAATCACTTATAGTTTTTGACTTATATTATACAAGATTATTAGCAAGACATTTATTAAGCAACAATAAGTAATTAATTATAGTATTGTATTAGTTTATTATTAAACTCCAGTTATTTCTTAGGTGTAATAGCTTAGATGTAATATGTGCCTACATATTACATTCATGGTTACCTTTTACAGTGTGGTTCCGGTTTAAATATACTACTATATTAGTTATTATTTCAAGAATTTAGTGCACCGGTAAATCTTTCATATTGATTCCGAGATCCTGGTGCTTAACTCACTTCCGATTATTACCGACCAAATTGCAAATCGAGTTTTCGGTGGAAACATTCTTCTGGTAAAGAGGTGTATATAAACTATTTGTCGGTTTTCTGCTCATTGCTTTAAAGTTGAAAAAACTTTAATTTTTCTGTTTTGAAAGAAAGCTGTACTAAATTTCATCTTTAGAGTTTCAAATTAAGCCCACAATCTATAGCTCGGAAATTTTTCTTTCAAAATTTCAATCCATAAACTAACTTAAAACCGCAATAGTTTGCCAATTGGAATCTCTTCATTAATATGGAGCCATACCATGAATTGCTTAAAGCTAAACTGCTCTAATAGATTTTTCTACTAGCCTCTCTTCTTACTTATAGGTATGAGCAAGCAGAAAATAAATTGAGTAATTTTGAATGCTCTTGAATTGATTTCTCCTTCACCATTAATGAACACATCCTGTTCATAAAATAGATGCAACATATAATATATAAAAACTAATTAATGATGCTACCATGTTTTGATGTATTTGTTGTTTTCTTGTTTCTTTCCTATTATATTTCAATTTATGGAGCTGTAAAAGGTGATAGCTAGTTGTTTTTTGCTGCTAATAATTAAAAATGACAGGTTTATATAAGTTTTACAAGAACTTTTGATCTTCAATTAGACTTGTAATGATTTAAAAAACAAAAAACAAAAAATATATTGATTGAAATTACACGCTATCATTGTTAAAGAATCTGCAATCATATGTACACATAAAATATTTAATTGATTCTGTAGTATAAAATTGAGAAGGAGCAATAATAATAATTTTTATGACACTATCAATTAAATATTTTTACAACAAATGACTTAATACATCATGAAATTTATTAACTGCATACTGGGTTTTTTTCTGCTTACTATAGGATATAATTTGTATAAAATGCTTTTCATGAATTCCGGTAGATAAACTTTTGTTTTACGAAGAAAGAAAATATATGGCCTTTCATTAAAATTTAGTCAAATTTCAAAATTAACAATAATTCAAAATTATTTAATTTTTTATTTGTATATTCCGCTTTAATTTTTATTAAACCATTATTTCTTGAAAAATATCTTATTGAAACAAAACTGTAATAATTGAAAACCTCTTAAAGCTATCAACAATAAATTTTAGTTCAAATTTACTGAATTAGTAATGGTCAACTTAATATGAGTCGTTTGTAGGTTGCCTAAAACTTTTCGTTCTCCTTATTGTTTCTCTTATATATTCCTTGTTTTCTGTTAAATAAAAATAACGTGAATATTTGGATATGATAACCTTCTTCGGACATTTATAAAATTTCTTCTAACACATAGCAATCATTTTACAAATTAAAGAAACAATAATCAATTCGCAATTCGAAAAGAGCACGATGTTATTATGAAAGAAAATTGAAAAATTCGACGCTATGCAAATAATTTATAAGCACTGGAATATTATATTGACTTCTGATATACACACAAAAACACATTTATATTGTTTATTTAATAAATTTATTGTATATATGAGATTATTATGCAAAGTGTGATAAATATCTTTTGATAGCACAATTAATTTTTTGATTGACATTCATTTAATTTGTCGCGCGTTACATTTAAAACGTGATCTTCAATTTAAAAAAATATTTGTAAGGTTTATTATTTTTGTGTTTTGTTTTGTTTTTTATTATTATTTAATTCTTTGCAAGAAGAAAATGCTCCCATCCACATGTAGAAACCTAAAATAAACTTTTTATTATACCTAGAACAAATAAAAAATTCTTTGTTACTATAAATAAAATTTTTTATTTGTCAAAAGAATCGCGTAATGTGAACATTGAAAAATATCCTTGTATTTACATAAATCTGGTGACTAATAGCTTATCAAAGTGTATTTTGTTAAGCTATTGCAAGTTTAAAAAAAAAAAAAAACTTTAAATTTTTTCTTAAAATTTTCCACAACAAAACTTCGATAGTTTCTCGAATTTGGTAATTCGTACATTATGCCTCAAATTTTAATATTATTCCAACTGCCTCCATAAAGCAGTTTAATGCAATTTTTGATAATCAATTCAAATTTATAAACTATACCTTTAAAATCACGTTTATAAGAATTATTTTCACATGAAAATTGAGAAAACGATAATTTTTTTAAAATTTTTTTATAAATAAATTAAAACTTAGCTTGGGCGCCCTCTAAACAGGAGGCCTTAATTCACATGTGCTCTATGAGCAATAATTGTTTTTTCTTTACTGAATAAATTAACTTAAAGATAAGAAGTTCATAACGCTTAATTATTAACTTTTTTACAAAAATATTAATATTGATTCAATTAATATTTTTTGAACATAATCTGAATTAGAAACTTTATTTTAAAACAATAATGTTTTTTATCACTTACACTGGTAATGAAAATCTCCTAGCATCAAGAACATTTTGAGTTCTAATGACTCTTTTTCCATATACTCTTGTACGAAACATAGTTTAGTTAAATTTTTTTAATGCCACACTCCCGGCTCTTTAGATAATCTTTTTACTCTTTAAAAAATCTCTTCTCTATTTTTTATAGTTATTAATTGTAAAAACGCGAATATCAAAAATTTTTATTTAATCGACTCTTTTATATTATTATTTATAGTTACTTTCTTCTATTCGCGATTTCGATCGAAAATAAACTAAAAGTAAATTTAATTGTAATAGAAATCAGAAAGCAATTTTTCATTCATGGAAATTTTATAAAATACGAGAATTAAAAATTGACGTACATAGCTTAGAGAATTTCTAGCAAAATAAATATCTACAAAAAAAATGTACTAATTTAAGGTTTACTGTCTTTTCGTTAAAAATGAAATAAGAAGAAAAAAAAGACTCGTCGCGTGATTACGATAAAAATCTAATATATTTTTGACACATATTTGGAAACTTACTTAAGTAAATTATTAATTTTATATAGAAGAATTATCTTTTATTCAATCTTCTATAACCATATCTAATCTAATCTATTTTAAATAGTTTCAAATAAAATTTATTATTTAAAAAGCTGAAAGCCTAATATTAAATTAAATTAGCTACTCTTGAATTTTTAATGAAAGAGTCACATAATGCTTGTATAGCTATTATTTATTGAATATTATTTATAACCTACTCTGTAGACATAATCAAGATTTACAAATAAATTTTTGAAATTGAATATTAGACAAGAATATTCTAACAAAATTTCAAATAACATAAGAGTAGTAAAAAACAAAATGTACTTAATTAAAAATCATTCATATTGATCATAACTTACATCTCTTTTGCTTACATCTCTTTTATAGGTATGTATGTATGTCTACTGTGTATATAATAAAACGATAAGACTATATACATAATGTATATGCATGTAGATCACATTGAGATTGCTGTAAAAATTATCACATAATAATCATTATACTCGTAATTAAGATATTAAAGATCACACACAACATCATAATATGTGTACAACAGAGTGCTTCATTTAATTATATATGGTTATGTAGAGCATAATTACGCTGTAAACTTGTTATTACAACAAAAAAAAATATTGTAATTGCTAATTATATTATTTGGGGGAAAAAATTTGGATCAACACGTATTAACTTTTTTTTTTCAAATTAAAAATTTAAGGAAGTATTTTTGTCAATTCTGGCATTTCAAGGCTTTTTTTAGTTAAAATTTTTTTTTAGAATTATAATATATTTTTTGTTTTCAGATTTATTTTTTACAAAAGTGGTGTAATTTTAAATGTTGGAATGCTTTGATTTGTTTCTAATTAAATAGCTAAGTAAGGGATATGGAACGATATTAAGTTCAAGTAACTTGTTTCGAAATCTATATGATTTGCTGGTTCTATTGGGCTTAACCCCATTGATTTCACCAGCCACTATTACTTTCACTTTTAATTTTTAAAAGCGTGGTTTCTTCATTAGATAAATTCATTAATATATTGACTCTAGGTGCAACTTTGCACATTTTCTCGATTAATTGATTTGTACTCTTGTATATAGTGATGAAAAATCCCACAAATAAATTACGTTTATCGTTATTAATTCCTCTCTAGTTTGGTTTTTAGTTCTTATTTTTATTATTAACGCATAGGAGCTTTTAGTACCGTATTTAAATATT